TCAGTTGAGTTTGATGAAAAGCTTCTTGAAGCAGCCCTTGAAGAAAATCCTGCTTTATCAGTTGAGGAATTGGCAGTGGTTCTCAGTTCAAACCATACAACTGTTCATCGTCATCTTCAACAACTTGGAAAAGTTCCTAAACTTCGAAAATGGGTGCCTCATGAATTGTCTGAAAACAACCTCAAATCCCGAGTTGACATATGCTCTTTTCTCCATTCTCGCCAACTTGTTTCACCTTTTTTGGATAGACTTGTGACTGGCGACGAAAAATGGATCATTTATCGAATTGTTAAGCGTCGTAGACAGTGGCTTGGTAAAGAGGAAAGACCCCAGCCACAGCCGAGAAGGGAACTTCATGGACAAAAGTTTCTTCTTTCAATCTGGTGGGATCGCCAAGGAATAATCCACTTTGAATTCTTACCACCTAATGCAACAATTAATGCTCAAATATATTGTCAGCAATTAGAGTGTTTGAACCAAGCTTTGAGGAAAAAAAAGACCTGCTCTAGTGAATCGAAAAGAGGTGTATGTTTCATCAGGACAATGCTCAGCCCCACACAGCAAGAATCACGTCACAAAAGATCGAAGAACTTGGTTGGGAGAAAATTCCTCATCCACCTTATTCTCCCGATCTTGCTCCTTCAGACTACCATTTGTTTCGTACCTTACAGACTCATTTGGTAGAAACAGCTTTTGTAACACAGGAAGAGTTTAAAACTAACATTTGTGAGTTCTTCGAATCAAAGCCAAGAACAATTTTACAGTAATGGAATTAGTAAGCTTGTTAATAGATGGAAGGAAGTCATAGATAATCAGGGGAAATACATTGTTGATTGAATCTTTAATTGAATGTAACATTCGGTCACTTGTTTTCCTTATTCAAAAGTCGGACAGAACTTATGGGATGACATGATACTATAGACTGGCCTGGAAAATCTCCTGATTTAAATCCAATCGAGAATCTGTGGTCAATCTGCAAGGTAAGACTTCATGGAATGGACATACGAAGTACTAACATGTACACTGGGTCATGTTTCATTGGAAAAATACGAAAAAAATTGAAAAATAACGGAATTATTCGTGTTGTTTCAATTAATTTGCACAAGGGTTTGTGTAAAATACATAAATTTATCCCATATGAAAATAATATACATATTAATTACATTATAAAAAAGAAAATTGAACGTCAACATAAATAACTAACTTTCATTTATTAGACATTAAATTATGTCACTTAGCATTCTCCATAATTTAAACTGAAATATTTTGAAACTTAATCATGAATATTGTAAAAATGTTTTAAAATGTTTACACGACATACTTCTAAATTATCAAGGTTTTAACTAACAGCTTTAAATATATATTTTTAAATAAGTAGACATCATAATATTCTCTTTACACGCCTTGATGTTACTCTACGGGTAACCCCAAAAATTTAAAAATCGTACAGTACATAAGTTTAGCGTTTTTCACTTCACAAATGAAAATATAATTTTCAGATAAACACAACAAATTTGTCTTCGATAAAACAAGACCCTTACAAAAAAAAAAACAAAAGATGAAGATGACATTTTGCCAATATCGAAAGTACTCTAAAAAAAATGAATGAACATCAATATGGTAACTTTCTTTTTTGTTTAATAAGGATACTAAGAAGCTTGTCCGGGAAGATGGGAGAATCAAAATAAGTAGAAAATAAAACTTTCACTCGTCAGGAAGTCCGGTTCTTCCCTGACGATCCGCATCGGTGAAACCTTGGTAGGTTTGTCTGGCTCTCTAGGTCTAACTATATATATATATATATATATATATATATATATATATATATATATATATATATATATATATACCTCCACACACACCTAAATATTCTCATATACCTATATATGAAACAGTAGTTGACACTACCGCTGAGGAAATTTGTATATATATATATATATATATATATATATATATAGTAATATATCGGGAGAGAGAGAGAGAGAGAGAGAGAGAGAGAGATAGAGACAGAGGCAGAGAGAGAGAGAGAGAGAGAAAGGGAGAGAGAGAGTGAGAAAGAGAAAGATAGAGGGAGAAAAGATTAATTTGCAACTTACCTGATTGATGGTTACCTTCAGCATTTCGACTCCAGTGTTTCACCCGTGTTAAATATGAATAAAAGGAAAAAACTATAAAAGCAGTACATTGCTGATATCCCCTGAGGAAAGGACGGGCCGCTCCGTCGACGAAACACTGGAGTCGGAATGCTGAAGGTAACCATCAATCAGGTAAGTTGCAAATTAATCTTTTCTCCCTCTGTCTTTCTCTTTCTCACTCTCTCTCCTTTCTCTCTATCTGCCTCTATCTCTATCTCTGTCTCTCTCCCGATATATTACTATATATATATATATATATATATGATGAAATATATATATATATATATTATAAAAAATATATATATATATATATATATATATATATATATATATATATATATATATATGAATGATAAAATATACTTTTAAGGTATGCTGTAATTATCGGTTAAAGTCCTCAATATCAGGGATAGAGCGTATGTAAATATACAAGTTGTTATTAATGTCAACATTCGAAGGAGACAGTCTGTTTCAAGCTAAACACGTCAATCCACGTCCGTTGTATTTTTGCTCGATTATTCATATATACATGTCAGTAATGCATTGTGGGTATTCTCTAACGCTTATTTTGGTGGGCGATAACGTTTGTGTTTCGAATTATTCTAGAGCCTATCAAGTGGAAATAATTGTGGATCTGAATGCAGTTTTTGAGTTATAGTTTTGTTTATTAACTTAAAAATGTTTTATTTTATTTAAAAAAAACTTGTTATTGATTGTTATTACTTAGTTTTCTATCTGTGCTTACGTGGTTTGTTAATTGAGTTATTATTTACTTTATTTATTTATTTGTTTGGATTAATTTATTTTACTTATTTTTGTTTGTTTATTTTCGTTTATTCATGTTTGTTTTTATTTTTTATTTTTAAGTAACGTAGTAAAATTTGTTTTCTTTTCTGCTTTTTGAGATGAGATTGATCGTTTATTTAGTAGTTTGTTTTGGTCTGGAAATGTAATTATAGTTATTTTTCCATCGAGGCAGACTTTACAATTCTTTAATTTATTGTTGTAGTCTGATGTTGTTTTCCTTATTTTCCATGATATTTTGGTGTGATTTGTTGTTTTAATCTCTCAGATATGTTTAGAAAGCTCTGTGCTCTTCGCATATTTACTATTTGTAAAAGAATGTTTTGTTTAATATATATATATATATATATATATATATATATATATAGATATAGAGAGAGAGAGAGAGAGAGAGAAGTGGAGAGAGAGAGAGTGGGAGTTTATTATTTAAACATTCTTTTATTTGAGTAGGCGACTCGTTTATAAAACAGTTTATTTATTTTTGTCTACCGACCTTAATATTCGGGAAATCTTGTTAGAAAAAATATACGCTCTCTTGCAGGATTCGAACCTGGGTTCTCCTAGGAGAAACCATCATTACATCTATTTTCTTATTAATTGTTTTCTTTTTCCTTCTTTTTTTCTTTCTTTCGCTGAAATATTCATTCTCTAATTTTATTCTTTTTTTTTGTTTCTTTCACGTTTTCATTCATTTTTTTTTCATTTATTTCGTCTGAGATACTCTTTTCATTCGATTTTCTTTCTTTAAATTATTAAGCATTCTTTCTTTCTTTCTTTCTTTTCCGAGCTTCTTTCTTTCTTTCTTTCTTTCTTTCTTTCTTTTCCAAGCATTTTCTTTCTTCCGTTTCCGAACTATTTCTTTCTTTCTTTCTTTCTTTCTTTCTTTCTTTCTTTCTTTCTTTCTTTCTTTCTTTTCCGAACTATTTCTTTCTCTCTTTCTTTCTTTCTTTCTTTCTTTCTTTTCCGGACTTCTTTCTTTCTTTCTTTCTTTCTTTCTTCGAACTTTCCTGTCTTTTCTAACCATTTTCTTCTTCTTTATTTCTTTCTTTCATCCTTTCTTTCTTTTTCAGATTTCTTTTTTCATTCATTGTTTGTTTGTTTGTCTGTTGGTTTCTTTCTTTCTTTCCGGGACTTCTTTCTTTCTTTCTTTCTTATTTTCTTTCTTTCTTTTCCAAGTATTTTTCTTTCTTCCTTTTCCGAACTATTTATTTATTTATTTATTTCTTTTCCAGACTTCTTTCTTTCTTCCTTTCTTAGAACTTTTCTGTCTCTTCTGACCATTTTCTTCTTCTTTATTTTTTTCTTTCATCCTTTCTTTCTTTCTTTTTCAGATTTCTTTTTTCATTCATTGTTTGTTTGTTTGTTTGTTGGTTTCTTTCTTTCTTTCTTTCTTTCTTTCTTTTTTCTTTCTTTCTTTCTTTCTTTCCGGGACTTCTTTCTTTCTTTCTTTCTTTCTCGGATTTAGTTTTTCATTCCTAGTTACTTCATTTGACTTTTTGTTTGTTTCTTTCTTCTTTAATGAACTTCTTTCTTTTTTTTCATTCTTTCTTTCTGTTACGTTTACGCCTCCTTTCATATACACCTTCCTTTCTTTCTTTCATTTATAAATTCCTTCTTTACTTCTTTCATACCCACGCTTCTTTTTCCATTTTTCATTCATTCATTCATTCTATCTTTCTTTCTAGCGCCAATCCTTCATAACCACCCACTTCGCCTGATAGCAAACATTTTCAACTTGAAAAAACAAACTAAATGATTTTCATTCCACTTGGCCAATGTATTTTCCTTCCTGTTACACAAATTCAACAAAACCGTTGTAACAATTTTCTTTCTTCCGTCGTCCAATAAACGAACGTTCCGCGTAATCGCTTTCTCTTTTTTTCATTCCGTTGCAATGTCGTGAGTAGCTTTCTCTCCACTTCCCACTGGATTCGGGATATTGTTGACGTGCAGTTACTTAGCAACACTATTTGTCTTTGCTTTTTTGGCTTACAGATTTGTTTCTCAACTTTTATTCTTTAAGAGCCAAGGTTGTTTATCGTTTTCATCGACCGCCTTCCTTTCTGCCTGATTTCCCGGGGATGTTTTCTGCGCCGTTGTTTTGTTTTCGCCATTTTGTTTTGCCTCTTTTGTTGGTGTTTCCATCGAAGCGTTTAAAATCGGGACATGAAACAACTTTCCCGCCATTGGTTTGCCATCTGCCGCCATTTTGTGGAAAGCGCTTCAGTCTTCACTTCTAATTCATTGTTTTTCGTGTTTCCATTTAAATTTGAGCAGCGCTTTGTTTTCAACGTGTACAGATACGGATACGAGTACACGTACACACAAACGTACGCGCACACAGAGACAAACGCACGTACACACGCACAGAGACACACAAACAAACACACAAAAACACACACACATATATATATATATATATATATATATATATATATATATATATATATATATATATATATATATATATATATGATAAAAGGCTTAAACACTAATATTCCATGGTCATAATGTATTCCATTGGAATCGTAAATACGATCCAATTCATCAGACCTACAAATTCAAAAAAGTTAAGTTCTACCTGGATTCTATCCTCTTGGAATTTTTTTATTCATAAAATATACATGTATGTGTATGCACCTATGTATATATATTTACATATTTTACATATGTATGTGTATATTTACCACTAATATTGCTATATATATATATATATATATATATATATATATATTGTGTGTATTTAGGCAGCATATTTTCATTTATACACGTTTCATTAAATAATATAGACAAGTGTTGTCTATTTATTTTATGTAAATTTTTTTCGTAACATCTGATAAGTTTAATAACATTATCGTTAAACGAAGAAAGAAATTCACAATATTGATCCATATTTTTTTAATATAATCTAAGCTTTCGGCTTACTTAAGCCATTATCAAAGATGAAAAATTACAAACATATTAAACAATATACGGACACGACAGTGATGATAGTCTGTCATTGTTTACATAGTTGATCACTAAGCAACGATAAACACGCGCATATAAGACGCTAGAAGCGAAAATCGCACCGCATCTCATGACGTTACATATGACCACACGAGAGAGAATTGGAGAATGAAGTATGGAAAGCCGTTGAGCTTAAGGATAAAGAATTGAAATGGTACATCTAACTCACTCAGGTCTTCTCTCCCCCCCAACTTCCTCACTTCGTTAATTTACATATGCTTAATGCGGCCCGTCAAAAATGGGTAAATTTCATTTAATTTTTCATTTCAACCTTTGGAAGTAAAGTTTGATGATCCAGAGCCCTTTAAAAGGGCTGTGGTGAAATAATTTATTACATGGAACCTTAAAGTGGTCTGTTTTTATTCATATATATATATATATATAGAAAAAGAGAGAGAGAGAGAGAGAGAGAGAGAGAGAGAGAGAGAAAGAGAGAGAGGCAATCACATATATACAAATATATACCTACGTATGTAGATCAATAGAATCAAACACACATAGAACACACTCACATATATAGGTAAACAGAAAATCTATATATTCAGACTCAGGCACACATACCTCGACGCATTTCAATATAAACGCATAAAACACTCACATAGGCATTCATAATCACACAGTAATATTTTTACACACATATACACAGAAGGGCACACATTACATCTTATTCTCCGATATATCTATAAAACATATACCCACATTTATATATATATATATATATATATATGTTGCGGGAATATATGACAAAGTTATGAGGTTAAATAATCCTGGATGTGAAAACCATATGCAAATAAAAATGGCACAAAATATCACATTCCAACGAGATAATGATCCTAATCACACAAATGGCTTGTTAAAAGTCAGTCGCCAGATTGAAACCTAATCGAGAATCTGTGGTGTTATTTGAAAATTCAAATCCAATCGAGAGGTCCAGCAAACATCCCCGATCTGAAGACCATTTACGACGAAGAATGGAACAAAATACTAATTAAATTTGCAAATCATTAATTGAGAACTACAAGAAGAGGTTGAGTGCTGTAGAAGTGAATAATGGCTATTCTACAAAGAATTAAATGAAGATTATGCATTCTATTTTTTAATTGTTCGAATAATTTTCATACATTAAAAAGGATAAATGGGATTTTTTTTTCTATTAAATCATTTTTTCCAGTTTTCTATGCACATTTAGTTATTATGCACCAGTGTACAGCTTATTATATGAAAATATTATAGAATATACTCGCTCTCCGACAGGAATCGAACCTGTATCCTATACGGCACCGTTATTTAGCCTGACATGCCTGAACCGATCGAGCCACATACAGATTCGATTCCTGTCGAAGAACGAATATTTTCTATGAGAATTTCTCGGACATTCAGTCTGTTAAATTTTATTAATACTGTTTATTATAAAACAGAGCATTTACTTAAATATCTGTATCTATAAAAAAGAATGTATAAACATGTCCATTTCATAATATATATATATATATATATATATATAATTATTAATGTGAGTATCTGTTATATTTATATATATTTATACAAATTTATATATATATATAATTATTTATTCGAAAATTATAGCATAAATATGTTATAAAATCACAACAAAAATAGCCATTTTGTTTCAACACTTCTGGTGTCTTATCACGTGATGGGATTGATTATATTGCTCTACTCTGAATTGAGCACACTTTTAAGGATAGCATTTGTTGATTATTGGAATTTATTCCGTATACATCAATCCTATACTGGGATATATATATATATATATATATATATAGTACTTATAAATATAAGAAATTATACTCGTCCGGAAAACCCTGGGTACTTTGATATGTAAATAAATAGACCAATACCCAAGGGAAAAAAAGGTACAAAAAAAGAAAGAACAGTACGTCAGCCGAAGACAATCTTCTAACCTTCAAGTTCAGAGTCCAAAGAAAAAAAAAACAATACGTGTAAGTAAAATAACTAAGTAAAGTGCTGAATACGCTAAGTAGAGCAAACCTATATATATATATATATATATATATATATATATATATATATATATATATATATGTTGATGCGACTACACTTAGTCTGATGAATTCCTAAAGGATGAAAAGCCTCACAAGAAACCTTTTCCACTTTGTCATACATCCCCTCCAGTATTGTTCTTGATATATAAAGATATATATCGTTATCTCATATACCCATTTGCATCCAAAATACTTTTACAAAATTTGGGGGCCAATTCCTCACAGCAAAATAAAGACAGAAGTCCATGTAAACTTTTCCCTGCAAATAATTCGTTTTTGAGTTACTAAGTTTAAAGAAAGTTTACGGTAGATGGCGCTGTGTTGCTATGTAGACAAGGTTACATTTGTCATTCGTGTAATTTGTGGATAGTCTATCTCCAGACTCATTGAAGGGATTCCTGGTAGCCCATGCCTTAAATAAATACAAAAAATTGTACTCACAAGTAGAGCCCACACCTTACGAAAGACTTTATCTATGTAAAATATGTACGATTTTATTTTATTTTTTTTTTGGAGGGAACATTAAAAGATTTCCTAAGAACATCACCCAAACCCGGTTACGGAGATAGGACCTGTAACAATTTTATGGGACTTTACAATACACACAGACAGAACAATCAAGGCTAATCACCCAAATATTGTGATTAGAGACCGCAAAGACAAAACGTGCCCTTTATTGATATGACAGTCCCTGCAGACTGTAATGTATCTTTGAAGATTTAAAAAAAACAAACAAAAAAAAACTATTATCAAAATACAAGGAGCTTGAAATAAAAATCTTAAAAATGTGGCACATGAGGACATTAACGATTCCACTTGTAGTTGGAGCCGTTGGATTTATTGGTAAAGATTCCAATCGACACATTGAAGGAATCCCTGGAAGACCATGACTTAAAGAAATACAAAAAATCTTTCTCCCAAGTACAGCCTACTTTTTACGAAGAGCATTATCTATGTCAAATATGTGTAATTTGTTTTTTTTTTTTTAAACTACTCAGTGGAAAATGTCATCATGCCATTTCTGACCTTAGGTTTCTGTTTGGGACCCAGAAAGAAATTAGTATACACCAGAAACCATAGGAAATATAATAATAATAATAATAATAATGATAATAATAATAATAATAATAATAATAGGACTTTAAAATACATATAGACAGCACAATCAAAGCTAATCGCCCTGACATCGTGATTAGAGACCGTAAAGACAAAATGCGCCTGCTCATTAACATGACCATCCCTGCAAACTGCTATGTATCGTTGAAGATCTTCAAAAAAGTATCAAAATACAAGGACCTTGAAACAGAAATCTAAAAATGTTGCACATAGGACATCAACAATTCCATTCGTAGTTGGAGCCCTCAGATTGATTGGAAAAGCTTCTAATAGACTCATTGAACGAATGCCTAGTAGCCCATGCCTTATAAAA